ATGGCTGCTAAAATCCCCCATAAATTTTCAATGGGATCTAAATCTGGACAACATGAAGGCCAGTTAATATTACATCAATATTTTCTTTTTTAAACAAATTTTTTGTTGACATTGAGACATGAATGGTAGCATTATCTTGTTGAAACTACCATTTATGTCCTCCAATTAATGCACCAAATGTAATAATATTTTTGTCAGCAAATACTAAATTAGTTTTTCCTTCCCATTTACCTCCAAAACTACCCCAAATCATTATAGACCCATGGCATATTGTAACTCTGCTTTCTCTTCTTAAATCATGCCAATAATATGAAACCCCTTCAGGGCCATATAAATTAAACTTCTCATCACTAAACATTATTTCTTTCCATTCTTCAGTCCATCCCATCTTGTCTTTAGCCCAATTTAAATTCCATGATATATGTGTATGGCAGTAAAATATTTAAAAATTTCATTTTTAAATATTTTACATTGTCATAGTTTTTTAAAGTTCTGCAAAGAGTTGCATGAGATACATCTATTGGTATTTCAGCAGCAGCTTGCCTTCTTAACATCTTTTTTTATTTATAAGGTTCAAAACTTCTCTCTCATTCCTGGATGTTAAACATGATATATGTTGAATACATAAAAAAATGGATATTTGTGGAAAAAAATGTATGCTGCTTTACGAAATGTAAAAAAACCTGATAATTATTTTTTATAATTATTTTAATATTTCCAGTAATAGTTTCAAAATAAATTAAAAAAAAAAAATTTATGGTGTTCTTATACTTCGGTTACAGACTGCAGAACCAACCCTATTTTTAGAAGTATAAAATAGAGAGATTGCGGTACACGTATCAGCGCAAAACGTATATGGCGGACGGTCCATGCGCCGCCATCTGGCAATTCTAGGCTGTCGATAACGGCGTTCGCTTCGTGTAGAATGGCGAGTAGAAGATCGGTTAAACTTCTTCATTTTTTTCTGTTTGGGGTTAAAATTATGACCTATTTTATTAAGATAACAATTATTTAAACATTTACGAATAACATTGTGAAGAAACAGACGATTTTAATCCAGAAATTTTTTAATTATTCAATTTTTTAGCAAGTGATGTAAAGTGTTGATAACATTTTTATAGCTGTGTTCATAAAATAGCTTATCATATTTTTCTTTTCAGAATGATCAAGCTAGTTTGCGAAGATCTGGAACAGAAGAGGAATTTACAGAACGTAATCAACTTCTACAAGAAATAAAAGTTAAAATATGAAGCCCAGATAACATCTGAGAAATCACAACCACAAGCCATTGCTGGGCAGCGAGTCAGGGATGCAGCGATGACATCTTTAAGAGCATCATCTCCCGAGTTTCCATCTGGTAAATATAAAAACTCTTTGTGATATAATTATTACAAGAATTATGTAATAATTATACATTTTTAATTATTTTTAGATGAAGATACAATTGTCACAAAAAAGAAAAAAAAAAGGAAAACCTTGTTGTCTCATAGTTACAAAACAAGCAAGAGCAACAGAATCATTTGAAACAAGAAGAATTAAATTTAAAAAAAGAACAACTGAAACTGGAACAAGAAAAATTCGAGTTTGAAAAAGAAAAATTTGGTTTAGAGAGAAGAGAGAGAGAAGCAAAATTGAGCAGGATGGCGAGGAAAGAAGATTGTTTTTAGAATTACTTATGAAAACTTTGAATAAAAAATGTTTATAAAAAATTTTTGTAAAATTGAAAAAAATTATTTATTTATTTATTATTTATTGATTACATTCTAAGTATTTGTCCAATTTGGGGGGTAAACAATTAAAATAATCTGATGTTGCACTACCATATAAGCAAGTGTGACAATTTGTAAGTAGTGCACCAACAATATACAGTTTACCGACAGGCTGAAGAAACAATTTCAAATTTTTTTTAAAATCTAGAAAAGCAAATATTTGAATTATTTTCCCAAATACCCATTCCACACACTCTCTTACTGAACTCATCCTGGAATTAAATACTTGTTGCTCGGGTGTTAAGCTAGCACCTCGGAATGGTGTAATGAGGTGTTGACGCAAAGGATAACCAGAATCTCCATATAAAACAAATTGGGTCCCGTTCTCAGAACAAGGAATCGCAGCCAAATGCTCTAACAAATTAGATTCTCTTAACATTCCACTGTCGTGACGTCTTCCTTCTATTGGTCCAAATAAATTAGCAATCATACCATCGGGTGTAACCACTGATTGAAATTTCAAACAATGTATACGTTTATGGCCACTGAATACCACCCTTTGATGTCTTATTGGTCGACAAATAGGACGTACCGTTCCATCTATGAACCCCCAACAATTTGTCAAAGGAGCACCTTTTGCTGTTATTATTTGGCTAAATAAATTTAATTTTTCTCTCGTTAGTTTTATCTCGTTGATATTCAATAACAATTTGGAATGGCTATTGTATATGATATTTACTGTTTCATGCACAAATCGTGAAAGTTCATCTTTTGATCTCCCCAACAAAACAGAAATATCATCAAGTCTATTAGGATAAGCTAATCTTCGTAATAAAATACATAATGCATCAATTCCAAATGAACGTGATCCATTTTCACAAATGATTACAGATGGAAGGCGTAAAGCAGAATGGAGGTAAAACAAATCATCTCTTGAAAATCTGTTAAAATTATAAAATTTTATAAGTATTATTATTCCTTTTTTTTAAGTATTTACTTTACTTTATAAATATATCACTTACCAAAAATAAAACAAACAATCAGAATCTGTCATTTCACTTAAATTCATTCTTACTTTCGTCACCGGTATAGCTTTAGTGATATGAAGTAATAAAATGGCTTCTTCATCACTTTCATTCTCATCCATTAAGAGTTTACTTTACTTTATAAATATATCACTTACCAAAAATAAAACAAACAATCAGAATCTGTCATTTCACTTAAATTCATTCTTACTTTTGTCACCGGTATAGCTTTAGTGATATGAAGTAATAAAATGGCTTCTTCATCACTTTCATTCTCATCCATTAACAGTAATACGTCATCAGTAAACTACAAATATAATTTTAATTAAATGCTTACTGTGCGAAAATAAAAAAATAAAAAATAATAACACAGCCTTAGAGTTTCTGTGATCACTTCACATCACATTGAAAAATATCACATAATTAAATAATTTCTGAATTAAAATAATTATTTTTTACAATGGCAGATATATTTAACATCGAGGGTTACCAGCGACGGTAAATAAACAAATTAAACTATTTTAAAGTATGTATAGGATGTTTAATAACACTAAATAATTATTTTTAATTAGCGTGGTATCTCCTACCGTACGATCGGACAATAGGCCTACCTCATACTTTTGTCAAGGGAAGTAGTGGCTTATGTAAATGCGAAAGCAGCTCGAAAAATTAATTTTTAGGAAATTTACTAACGTATTACGCTGTTGATGGTAGAAGATACCGTTGAAGAACAAACCTACCTTAAGATAAGCTATTATGAAGGCAAATATATGAAAATTCTACATCACTTGCTAAAAAATTGAATAATTAAATAATTTCTGGATTAAAATCGTCTGTTTCTTTACAATATTATTCACAACTTCTTAAATAATCATTATTTTAATAAAATAAATCATAATTTTAACCCCAAACACAAAAAAATTAAGACGTTTAAGCCGATCGTCTACTCACATTGATACACATAGCGAACGCCATTATTGACAGTCCAGAACTGCCAGATGGCGGCGCTCAACCGTTTGCCGTACACGTTTTGGGCTAAATACGACGGCCGCAACCTCTCTAATATTTATTGCACTTGTGACTAAAATTTGTTTGAACACTTAGCTTAAACAATCACACTTCCATGTAGCATCAAATATCAATACATGTTCAACTAAGTCACAGATAATCAGAAAACTTGGATTCACACAACTTCCATAAAAATACAAGATGCGTGCATTTTAAAATACACACATCATTGTACAAAATACAGTGGGTACGTGATCAAAGAACTGTGTGAACAGTTCTTTGATCACGTACCCACTTTGATCTTTCCATTCTTTGATCTTTCCATACTTTGATCATTCCATTCTTTGAATACCTGGAATTGTTTTGTTATACCTGCCATATTAATCTATAATAGTTTTGATGTTAACAATTCCAGGTATAAATTTATTAACTGATAAGTTTATACCTGGAATTGTTAACATCAAAACTATTTTTTTTTTATTCTGATGAAACTGTGTTGTAATTTACTTTGCTTTATACAGACATAATAAAGTGACTTCTTTCAAACACTTGGCAGATTATTCATCTCTTTATTCAGTTGGATAAAGAGATGAATAATCTGCCAAGTATTTGAAAGAAATCACTTTATTGTGTCTGTATAAAGCAAATCAAAACTATTATTAGAAAAGATTTATGAGGGATGCTTACAAATATTCCTTGAACAATCAAGTAAATTACATTAAAGATAATGAAAATCTGTAGAATGATTGATGTGTTTCATTATTAGTAAATATTATTTTTTATATATATGTAGTAGATTGAATAAAGTTAAAATATCTCTAAGATCAATCTTCTTAATAATTTGTTTTTAAGTGACTTCTCACTGTTATAAGTACATGCTCATAAGCTTTTACAGTCACTTTTGAATTGTCCAAGAAGAATTTCATTATTTATATTATTTTCAACTGATAGTGTGGGATTACACACAACACAATGTTAGCTGCTTTACACTTTGTCTAGATCAAGCTTAAGAATATTTATTATTATTAAAGTTTGGATTGATGTACAGAAAAACAATGACAGTCTATTTTGTCATCTTGGAATTCTTGAAAGTCCTTTCAATAGCAATCAATTGTAAATGTTATTCCTGTTTCCCATAAAAATAAACATTCTAAATTTTAAAACTGAGTTGATATATAAAAAATTTTTGTTTTCTTTTGCAAATACCCATAGACATAACAGCTAACTATGCACTTTTGTAGTTTCAAGAAAAATTATCTTGACAAATGAAAGTGTCAAAAACATTTTTCACATTTTTAAAAAATGCTCTTGCTAATAAGTTTATGAAAAAATAAAGATGTCAAATGAGGTTGAATGAGTAATTGTGAGTTAGAATCATGGAAATCCATATCATTGCATTATTGACACCAGCCTTCAAACAGCTGTGGGTTATCCACATAAAATTATAGCAATTATTTTATTTACATACTTTTTCTTCTTTTCTTTCCATTTGTTAGAGATTAAAATATGAAAAAATAACTTATGTGATGACATTAAAGTTGACACATTACTTTGGGTACATTTGTAAAGTAGAATGAGTTAAATGAAAATAACATCATTATTCTTATTTCATTAGACTTTTTGAACGATTCGTTTATTGCTAAATGGATGTTTCAAAAATTGAAGATATGAATGTTGCTAGAACAGCCTTATCCAAAATATTTTTCTTAGATTGCTTCGAGTGGACAGTTATTTCAATCATTTCACCTTTTAATTCACAGTTTAAACACTCGAGTAGATTTAGAAACATTGATATCATCAGGCCATTTTCTTAACGAAGTAAACTAACTCTTTCCTTCGTGAGCGTCATCAGAGTTTTGTTTAAAACGTCATCAAAAGTAAATATCCAGCAATGAGTCACATAACTTTCCCAGCAAGATTTAAAAGTTGTGTGTGATGCCATCTGTTAAGAGACTTTATTAAAAAAAACTTTTATATTATTAATTATTTTAAAATGGTAAGGAGCTTAATTTTGAGGATAGATATGAGTATTATAAAACATTGTAAATGCTAATAACAAGAAAAATCTTCATTAAGTCTAACTCCAATAGAGATACAACACATGATTCCTTCTATTTCCCCACCTTTTCAATTTTTAACCACCAAAATTTAATAGCATCAAATGTCCTAACACACAAACCATCCTGCAAAATTTCAAAAATTTTTAAGAAAAGGCACAGGATCTTAGTCAAAAGTCAAAACAAAATATCTTTATTTTGACTTTTGGCTAAGATCTCTATTTTCTAATCAGAAACTACAGTAGTATAATAAGTCCTATCAATAAACAAGGTCCATGTAGTTTTACATTTCTGTGTATATTATACACAGAAATGTAAAACAGTAAGGANTCCAAGTCATATCCTCCTGTTGCACCGTTTGCAGTTTCCTTATGTAACACCCTCAGTACGGGCATTTTGTCATACTGTTAATATGCCTTTTACTTATGTAACAATTTATATTTTGTTAAATAAAGTACCAATACTGACACCCATGTAACTCCCACTTTCATCCCCTTTCCTATCTCACTTTACTTTTCCCCTTCGTCTCTTCCCTTAATTAATCCTTTCCCTCTCAATCCATTTCAAACCAGGCAATACCTACGAGTGGCCCTGGTCTTCATCCCCTTTAAGCTAGTATGTCTAGTATGTTAGTTTTATTTTGTCGATATTCAATAACAATTTGGAATGGCTATTGTATATTATATTTAGTGTTTCACGTATAAATCATGAAAGTTCAGTTTTTTTCTCCCCAACAAAACAGAAATATCATCAAATCTATTAGGATAAAGTAATCTTCATAAAAAAATACACAATGCATCAATTCCAAGTGAGCGTGATCCATTTTCACAAATAATTACAGATGAAGACGTAAAGCAGAATGGAGGTGAAACAAATCATCTCTTGAAAATCTGTTAAAATTATAACATTTTATAAGTATTATTATTCCTTTAAGTATTTACTTTACTTTATAAATATATCACTTACCAAAAATAAAACAAACAATCAGAATCTGTCATTTCACTTAAATTCATTCTTACTTTTGTCACCGGTATAGCTTTAGTGATATGAAGTAATAAAATGGCTTCTTCATCACTTTCATTCTCATCCATTAACAGTAATACGTCATCAGTAAACTACAAATATAATTTTAATTAAATGCTTACTGTGCGAAAATAAAAAAATAAAAAATAATAACACAGCCTTAGAGTTTCTGTGATCACTTCACATCACATTGAAAAATATCACATAATTAAATAATTTCTGAATTAAAATAATTATTTTTTACAATGGCAGATATATTTAACATCGAGGGTTACCAGCGACGGTAAATAAACAAATTAAACTATTTTAAAGTATGTATAGGATGTTTAATAACACTAAATAATTATTTTTAATTAGCGTGGTATCTCCTACCGTACGATCGGACAATAGGCCTACCTCATACTTTTGTCAAGGGAAGTAGTGGCTTATGTAAATGCGAAAGCAGCTCGAAAAATTAATTTTTAGGAAATTTACTAACGTATTACGCTGTTGATGGTAGAAGATACCGTTGAAGAACAAACCTACCTTAAGATAAGCTATTATGAAGGCAAATATATGAAAATTCTACATCACTTGCTAAAAAATTGAATAATTAAATAATTTCTGGATTAAAATCGTCTGTTTCTTTACAATATTATTCACAACTTCTTAAATAATCATTATTTTAATAAAATAAATCATAATTTTAACCCCAAACACAAAAAAATTAAGACGTTTAAGCCGATCGTCTACTCACATTGATACACATAGCGAACGCCATTATTGACAGTCCAGAACTGCCAGATGGCGGCGCTCAACCGTTTGCCGTACACGTTTTGGGCTAAATACGACGGCCGCAACCTCTCTAATATTTATTGCACTTGTGACTAAAATTTGTTTGAACACTTAGCTTAAACAATCACACTTCCATGTAGCATCAAATATCAATACATGTTCAACTAAGTCACAGATAATCAGAAAACTTGGATTCACACAACTTCCATAAAAATACAAGATGCGTGCATTTTAAAATACACACATCATTGTACAAAATACAGTGGGTACGTGATCAAAGAACTGTGTGAACAGTTCTTTGATCACGTACCCACTTTGATCTTTCCATTCTTTGATCTTTCCATACTTTGATCATTCCATTCTTTGAATACCTGGAATTGTTTTGTTATACCTGCCATATTAATCTATAATAGTTTTGATGTTAACAATTCCAGGTATAAATTTATTAACTGATAAGTTTATACCTGGAATTGTTAACATCAAAACTATTTTTTTTTTATTCTGATGAAACTGTGTTGTAATTTACTTTGCTTTATACAGACATAATAAAGTGACTTCTTTCAAACACTTGGCAGATTATTCATCTCTTTATTCAGTTGGATAAAGAGATGAATAATCTGCCAAGTATTTGAAAGAAATCACTTTATTGTGTCTGTATAAAGCAAATCAAAACTATTATTAGAAAAGATTTATGAGGGATGCTTACAAATATTCCTTGAACAATCAAGTAAATTACATTAAAGATAATGAAAATCTGTAGAATGATTGATGTGTTTCATTATTAGTAAATATTATTTTTTATATATATGTAGTAGATTGAATAAAGTTAAAATATCTCTAAGATCAATCTTCTTAATAATTTGTTTTTAAGTGACTTCTCACTGTTATAAGTACATGCTCATAAGCTTTTACAGTCACTTTTGAATTGTCCAAGAAGAATTTCATTATTTATATTATTTTCAACTGATAGTGTGGGATTACACACAACACAATGTTAGCTGCTTTACACTTTGTCTAGATCAAGCTTAAGAATATTTATTATTATTAAAGTTTGGATTGATGTACAGAAAAACAATGACAGTCTATTTTGTCATCTTGGAATTCTTGAAAGTCCTTTCAATAGCAATCAATTGTAAATGTTATTCCTGTTTCCCATAAAAATAAACATTCTAAATTTTAAAACTGAGTTGATATATAAAAAATTTTTGTTTTCTTTTGCAAATACCCATAGACATAACAGCTAACTATGCACTTTTGTAGTTTCAAGAAAAATTATCTTGACAAATGAAAGTGTCAAAAACATTTTTCACATTTTTAAAAAATGCTCTTGCTAATAAGTTTATGAAAAAATAAAGATGTCAAATGAGGTTGAATGAGTAATTGTGAGTTAGAATCATGGAAATCCATATCATTGCATTATTGACACCAGCCTTCAAACAGCTGTGGGTTATCCACATAAAATTATAGCAATTATTTTATTTACATACTTTTTCTTCTTTTCTTTCCATTTGTTAGAGATTAAAATATGAAAAAATAACTTATGTGATGACATTAAAGTTGACACATTACTTTGGGTACATTTGTAAAGTAGAATGAGTTAAATGAAAATAACATCATTATTCTTATTTCATTAGACTTTTTGAACGATTCGTTTATTGCTAAATGGATGTTTCAAAAATTGAAGATATGAATGTTGCTAGAACAGCCTTATCCAAAATATTTTTCTTAGATTGCTTCGAGTGGACAGTTATTTCAATCATTTCACCTTTTAATTCACAGTTTAAACACTCGAGTAGATTTAGAAACATTGATATCATCAGGCCATTTTCTTAACGAAGTAAACTAACTCTTTCCTTCGTGAGCGTCATCAGAGTTTTGTTTAAAACGTCATCAAAAGTAAATATCCAGCAATGAGTCACATAACTTTCCCAGCAAGATTTAAAAGTTGTGTGTGATGCCATCTGTTAAGAGACTTTATTAAAAAAAACTTTTATATTATTAATTATTTTAAAATGGTAAGGAGCTTAATTTTGAGGATAGATATGAGTATTATAAAACATTGTAAATGCTAATAACAAGAAAAATCTTCATTAAGTCTAACTCCAATAGAGATACAACACATGATTCCTTCTATTTCCCCACCTTTTCAATTTTTAACCACCAAAATTTAATAGCATCAAATGTCCTAACACACAAACCATCCTGCAAAATTTCAAAAATTTTTAAGAAAAGGCACAGGATCTTAGTCAAAAGTCAAAACAAAATATCTTTATTTTGACTTTTGGCTAAGATCTCTATTTTCTAATCAGAAACTACAGTAGTATAATAAGTCCTATCAATAAACAAGGTCCATGTAGTTTTACATTTCTGTGTATATTATACACAGAAATGTAAAACAGTAAGGACATAGAGGTAAAACAAATTAATATTTTGTTCTATTGACGAAGCTTGTGTACAGAGCCATTTTACTACAATTTTAAGTATGGCACATATTAATGCTTACAGCAATATTTAAACAGTGAAGAATCTATAAAAGAAGGTCAACACTGCTGTGTGATCTCATTTTCCTATGATGTACACTATGAAGATCAATTTTTGATGGCAATCTTCTATTTTTGAATTCTTAAATTAAATTTCAGTCAAGAGTAATTTATTACACTACTCACAAGTATATGTAGACTGTATATTGTAATTTTTACGATATACAGTCTACGAAGAGATTGAGTATGGCAATGCCGGCCAAAAGGTATCGAATTGTAATTTATTGTTATATAATTTAACAATGCTTTTTAAGATAGTATATACAGTAGACCCCCCTATAACGCTTAGATACGTTCCACGCTAATCAAATTTTACATTGTAGGAATGATTAAATACATGAGCCAATCGCAGCCCGATAGGTGGGAACTTTACGGACTAAGGCTGTTCGAAAGGTTTTCTTCTATAAAATTAACCGATTCTAGACTAATTNTTGTTGAATTGCGAAATATAAGACCTCCCCCTGAAAGTAAGACCTAACAAAGTTTTTTTTAGTGGTAACGGTCATCGACAGATGGTCAAAAGAGGCCGTCTGCTTTTTGAAAGTACAGCCACTGATTGGTCAGCAGACAATCACGCCACATGGCATGATTTGCATAAGACTATGGCTTGGAAATCACAGATTTGCATAACGTTACGGCTGGTGATCGCTAATTGGTCGGCTGGGAATCACGCCCCATCACATTTGCATAGTGCTACGGTTCAATAAGCACTAATTGGTCATCGAGCCTGATGTCGATGCTATGAAAAGGTGAAGTTAAAGCAAGAGTGGGAAGTCCACTCCAGCATAGGAAGTTCGATTTGACACGACCAAATATACGTCACTTTCGTTTAAGTTAGACTTGGAAATTTTTTTGTTCAACAGTAAATGTGAATTCTTCTTCATGGAAAAATAAGACATTCTGTGAAAATAAGACCTAGCGCATCTTTAAGAGCAAAAATTAATATAAGACACTGTCTTATTTTCGGGGAAACACAGTATAATTTGTAGGTTAACCTTGAATAGGCGACAGTTACAGATGTTTGAAAGTTGCTTACATAAATATAATAATAATGAATGAGTATGTGCCTCAGTGTTCCAAAGACAAGAGCCAATCAAACATTATGTTGCTTTGGATTATATCCCTATCACTATCAGCATATCCAACATTTGCTTCTGGGAAATGATGAGATGCACCTCACACTTTATCAGTGGACATATGATCATCACTGAGTAACTTAGAGAAATGATGTTACCTACAGACACAAGTTGGGAAGTATGTCAACGTTCACAGATCAATTTTTGACCATTCATTGAGAATGTAATAAATATATAATTCATTATTAAAACTAATAAATTCTAAAAAATTTTTCTTAAAAGAAAAAATTTAACCTTGTAGGTTAACCTTGACAATGAATTATATTATTTATTTACTAATATAATGACAATGAACTACATACAATGACAATGAATTATATTATTTATTTACTAATATAATTCATTGTCATTGTATGTATTTGAGCAATATTCAAATAACTAAATCTCTGAAACTACTAAGAATAACATCCATGTTTATGCAGTTATTTTGTTTACAATGCTCATACCATTCTTCTCCCGACTCACTCTGTAGAAAATTTATAATTAAAATAAAAAATTTACACTTACCAATTTGTTCTCCTTCTGGTACACCAAGTTCAAAAAATATTCTTATAACAAACAAAAATTTTGTTGCATATTTTCCATTCACTGACCAGTTTGAACGATCCGGATCAAATACTGACCACGACGACAGTTTCATTTCTTGAGATTCAATAGAAATAATTCTTCCTAATTAAAAACATTTTGTTATAATCAAATTTTTTAATTTTTACATTAACAATTTAAATATCACAAAAATTTAATATGCAACTGAATAATTCAGTATGCTACATAGTCACGTAATATAGTTAATGCAGTCCAAATTTATTTGATGAGAAAAAACAGAGCTCTAAAAATAAACACTTCTCATTTAAATGCTTTTTTGCAAAATAAAAAATTGGAAACATTTTTAAAATTATATACAGTAAAACCTCCATTAATGGACACACAAATAGTGGACACCTCTACTTAACGGACATTTTTACAATCTCCAGACATTTCAAACAGGACATCTGTTATATTATTTACATCTAAATAATGGATGCCGTCATCCATAAAACCAACTGTATGAAAATGCAATGTCTCACCTTCAATATTCTGAAAGAATTAATTAAAAATGAAATATTTTAAAGTGAAAAACAAAGAATCAATTCAAATACTCTTTCAGACGATGAATTTTGACCATAGGCATCAAATAAAGACTGGCTTAGAATAGGAATAGGGAAAGTTATAAAAAGTCAAATACTCTTTATCTGTTAGAGAAGTTTAATCTGGTTACGTTGTCAATCACCATTTATCATATACATATTAATGCTATTAAACTTCTGTCTTATTGTTAGAATTAAGCTTATGGTACGAAAAAAACTATAAACTTTTCTGAAGTTATTCATTTGATAAGAACTGTAATATCTTGACTGATCAAATACACATCTCTCAACATACTTTCTTGTATGCTACTGCTGAAGTTGAAGGATTTTTATTTTAATGAGAATCACAGGAACTTGCATCCATCTTTGTTCTGATTCAAAGACAGATTCAAGTGTTTAATGCAAAACAAAGAAATGAGTCACAGTAACCACTTTCCCAGAATAAGAATGAGTGTAAATGAGCAAGATGCTGTAAGATGATGAAATCTTACAAAAATGACAAGAATTTAGCAAACAATTAAGAATTTTTATTTAAATATTGTTTTTCAAATTGCCAATAGCATAAATTTGAAAGGTGCATGTAGAGAGTCTGCATATAACAGGATTATACTGTGTGTGTGTGTGGGGAGTGTTTATATCATCATCATCAATGGATCATCATGCTAACAACTCTGAAAAGTGAAATCCCTTTACAGAAATATAAGAATGATGATGGAAAGGTTAGTGTTTGGATATTCTCACAATTCAGGCCTAGCACTAAGGAACCATGGTTCAAGTCCAGATTAGATCCTCTAAAATTTTATATTAAATTAAAAACAATACTTTTCAAAACATTTTGCGCATCTCTAACTTTTCATAAATAAGTAAATGTATATTATAAAACTACTGATTTATATCTATTGTTATTTAAGTACAACTGTATTTCATTCTTAATCTTTTATAAAATGGTAATGCTTATAAAAATATATTAAATGTAAGTATAAATCATATCAAATTTTCTTTTTATTCATTAAATAAACATAAAAATGTCATTTAATAATAATTAAATTCTTTATAATTATTTCAGACAGTTCTCCAACTTTTTTGGCTTGTGGCACACTGTGATAAATATTTTTAACTTTGTGTACAAAATTAAAAAATATGTTAATATATTTTAAATTGTAAATAGATTTGTACTATAATAAATGTACCTATAAACCTAACCTAGCTATCATTTATTACAGATGTAAATAATCTCTGTATAAACACTAGTTTACCTACCTCTGATTTTTACCTATTAAACTAATAAGTAAAAATCAGATTTTGTAACTATGACAAATATAATTCTGAATATCTTCTGTATACAACGTAAAGACATTAGAAATTTTTAAGTTGTATTGTTTATCTTGTTATATATAATAAATGTAATTTAATTAAAAAAAAGCATTTTTAACATGGTAAGGAATATTTACACACAACAGCAGTCTGTTTTTACTTTAGTATTTGAAAGAGTACACTAAGGAGCAGAAACGTAGCTATGTGGAGCAGTTGAAGCAAACTGCTCCAGGTGCATGAATCATAAGGGCGCCACGTTAGAAAAAGCAAAATAAAAACTTGTAAAAACATTTGTAAAAATTTTTTTTGATTTAATAATTAATCATCTAACTATTAGACTTGAATCCGTTCAACAATTATGTACACTTCTCAAGTGCTTATCGCCTGCATATCTTGTCGTGCCATCTGATAAAAATATTCTGGAACAATCAGAATTGTTACAATCGGCATATCCCTTCAACATTCACCTAGTTTTGGACCTCAACTGCTTCAATTTAAAATGTGTTTTTATATTCAGGTAAAATAAATTACTTCTATAAGCGAAGTTACTGAACTACTTTTATTTCACATCGCAGCGTCAAATAGGTTCTTCGATATTATTGCAGCATGCCTCATTTTTTTAACTTTATGGGCAACAACAACGATATCAGAACAAAGTTTTTCCAAACTAAAATTAATAAAAACTTATTTAAGAAGCAGCATGTCACAACACCGTCTTAACTCTGGTTACTATATCCAGGGGTGGATCTACATAAAACTAATAGGGCTTAAAACTTAAGCCCTGGGCCCCCAAGTGTCAAGGGCCCACAAAAATTGAATTATTATCATAAATTTTTGATACTTTTTCATTAACAATGGGCATTTATCGTATTGGAAAAAATAGTTAATATTATAAATTATCATTATTATCTTATTATTTGGATTAATTAACAAAAAAAAATAGGACTTCAATAAGTCCTAGGCCCTAAAAAACCCTATCATCTGTCCCTGACTATATCAATTGAAAAAAACAATAGCTTGTCAACTTAATCTGAAGAAAGTGATTGACCGATTTGCAAACAAAAAAGCAAGAAAACAATTTTTAAGTTTTTTTTTTATATATTATTATATATTTGTTATGAAACAACTTACTTACATTTTGTCAATACAGTTTATATAATAAGTAGTAAATATTATTAGGTACTCCGTACTTAAAAAATTATATTTTGTTTTATTATTATATTTACATTAGCAGATGAGCTCAGCATTGCTCAGGCAAAAAGTAATAACAACAAAGATTATTAGATTATAGGCAATCTTACTCATTATCACTGGGTGCAAGAATTAGGTCCCCCTCTTCCAAGATTAATTGGAGAATTTTTAGATGGGTCTAAAAATATGCTCGATTTCTAGCAAAAACGCAAAATACCGCATCTAAAATAGTACAGTAGAAGTTCTTCAGGTTAATCCTTAACCCTCTTCCTCTCCACCCGTGGGGGAATTTCGAAAAATACTTTCGTAGTGTGCATTGGCATGGCGTACTCTATGTGCCAAATTTCAACTTCTAAGCTTTTGAGCTCCGTGCTTATTATTATCATCAAACCATCTCAATTATATTATAAGATTTATTAAATTGAATATTTTATTGTTGAAATGCTTTGAATCTCAAATAAATTGTTATTAAGTAAGGTTTTAAATCAAAATAATTAGATGTTTTTGAATTAAATGTTTAAAATAAATTTCGTGAGACCTCTTCCGAGAAACAAGAGGGTGCACCAATTCGACTTGCTCCAGGGCACTGAATATGTAGCTATGTCACTGCAAAGAAGATTCTGACCTCTTATAAGGTCATTATATTAATAATAAAATAGCATTAAGTTTATGGGAGGTTGGCTAGGACCTTTCCTTAATCATTGTATTCATAGACATTGTTATCAGAATTAATATATTCCAAAGTTTAGAAGTTATATNTCTCAAGTGCTTATCGCCTGCATATCTTGTCGTGCCATCTGATAAAAATATTCTGGAACAATCAGAATTGTTACAATCGGCATATCCCTTCAACATTCACCTAGTTTTGGACCTCAACTGCTTCAATTTAAAATGTGTTTTTATATTCAGGTAAAATAAATTACTTCTATAAGCGAAGTTACTGAACTACTTTTATTTCACATCGCAGCGTCAAATAGGTTCTTCGATATTATTGCAGCATGCCTCATTTTTTTAACTTTATGGGCAACAACAACGATATCAGAACAAAGTTTTTCCAAACTAAAATTAATAAAAACTTATTTAAGAAGCAGCATGTCACAACACCGTCTTAACTCTGGTTACTATATCCAGGGGTGGATCTACATAAAACTAATAGGGCTTAAAACTTAAGCCCTGGGCCCCCAAGTGTCAAGGGCCCACAAAAATTGAATTATTATCATAAATTTTTGATACTTTTTCATTAACAATGGGCATTTATCGTATTGGAAAAAATAGTTAATATTATAAATTATCATTATTATCTTATTATTTGGATTAATTAACAAAAAAAAATAGGACTTCAATAAGTCCTAGGCCCTAAAAAACCCTATCATCTGTCCCTGACTATATCAATTGAAAAAAACAATAGCTTGTCAACTTAATCTGAAGAAAGTGATTGACCGATTTGCAAACAAAAAAGCAAGAAAACAATTTTTAAGTTTTTTTTTTATATATTATTATATATTTGTTATGAAACAACTTACTTACATTTTGTCAATACAGTTTATATAATAAGTAGTAAATATTATTAGGTACTCCGTACTTAAAAAATTATATTTTGTTTTATTATTATATTTACATTAGCAGATGAGCTCAGCATTGCTCAGGCAAAAAGTAATAACAACAAAGATTATTAGATTATAGGCAATCTTACTCATTATCACTGGGTGCAAGAATTAGGTCCCCCTCTTCCAAGATTAATTGGAGAATTTTTAGATGGGTCTAAAAATATGCTCGATTTCTAGCAAAAACGCAAAATACCGCATCTAAAATAGTACAGTAGAAGTTCTTCAGGTTAATCCTTAACCCTCTTCCTCTCCACCCGTGGGGGAATTTCGAAAAATACTTTCGTAGTGTGCATTGGCATGGCGTACTCTATGTGCCAAATTTCAACTTCTAAGCTTTTGAGCTCCGTGCTTATTATTATCATCAAACCATCTCAATTATATTATAAGATTTATTAAATTGAATATTTTATTGTTGAAATGCTTTGAATCTCAAATAAATTGTTATTAAGTAAGGTTTTAAATCAAAATAATTAGATGTTTTTGAATTAAATGTTTAAAATAAATTTCGTGAGACCTCTTCCGAGAAACAAGAGGGTGCACCAATTCGACTTGCTCCAGGGCACTGAATATGTAGCTATGTCACTGCAAAGAAGATTCTGACCTCTTATAAGGTCATTATATTAATAATAAAATAGCATTAAGTTTATGGGAGGTTGGCTAGGACCTTTCCTTAATCATTGTATTCATAGACATTGTTATCAGAATTAATATATTCCAAAGTTTAGAAGTTATATTTATAAAAAAAACTTTGCATACTGTAATCAATATTTCAGTTTTAGTTATTATCATCTTCATATATAAATAGGCATTTTTATAAATATGCTATTACTATAGTTAACTGTACATTTTTGCCAATTTTCAGAAATGCTTTAAAATTATTATTTCTACTATATTACATAGAAACAAAATCAGAAAATGATCAGAATATGCATATGTGAGAGGCTGAGAGCTCAGGAGGTAACAATTCGAAGCCCTTCTTTTGGAGACAGTCTGGTGAACACCTCTCACTTTGTCACTGGATGGCTAAGGAGGGCTATAAATCAAGTGGGGAGGCTGTGGATAAGTCAACAGGGTCCATTCTCCAAAATAAGACAGGTTGAGAGGTTAACAAATGACAAAAATTTAATGTAGAACAAAAGAGGTTAAAAAGTAAAACAGAGTCAAAATAAACCAGTCTGAAATAAAGGTCTGGGAGTCTAATTTGTAATCTAATGAAGTTTTCAGAATTAGTTTATGGAAAGCTGTTTAATTTATTAATTAAAATATAAACTTTATTATTGACTTTCTGAATAGATAAGTAATGGCTGAAGATCATATTAGAAGACAATAAATTATACGGTGTGATTCAGCTATGTACAAACTTCTGGGAGAGATAAGTTGAACAAAGATAAATCAGAATCAAGTTATTCTTTCAAACACCATAACAGTGTATTTCTATTAATAGGACTTATCATACTGGTGTATAAGATTACAGCAACACAGTCACACAGATTAAAATTGTTTTATTTACAATTACCTGGACACATATAAATTGCGTTTCATACCTGTATGTCCCTCTTCAGCAGGTATTTAACAAACAAATTCTAAATAAATAAATAACATTCATACAATAAGCAAACTTATTTACTGACAATATTTTAAAATTTTTATGCCTACGATAATAAATTATAAAATTCATACTGTTTTGATGTTCTTTCTTTCTAAACTACTTTTTCTCCAATTATTCAGTCCAATAACAATTAATATCAATTTTAAAACATTCCTGTATTAAAACAAATAAATATTGTTCCATTAAACACTAACATTTTACATTAAACGTTAACATTTTATATAGTTTTGTACATTTAAAACCAATTCTAACTTACATTTCTACTTGTCTTTCTTCACTTTCACTTTGTCTTTCCCAGTCGTTATCGTTCCCTTTATACGTCAATTTCCTGTTTGTGTCTATCATTCTTCTCCATGATTAGTGTATTTCTCTTCTGTTATTGTTATTCATTCTATTGTTTTGTTTAATTATATTAATATGTTCGTATAATTGTCGTTTATAATTATTTTCTTCTTTTTTTCTTATTTTAACTGATTTTAGTATTATTTCACATCCTGTTGAATTGCAGTGTTCCGCTACTGCAGAATTTGCATAATTTCCACGTATTGCTCTAATATGTTCTTTTAATAGTATCTCCAATTTTCTCTTTGTTTCTCCAATATATGTTTTTTCTGGATTACAATTACAATCAAACGTATACACTACACCTTTTTCTTCCATTATATCATTTTTTCCCCCATTTCTATAACATAGTTGTTTCTTCGTTATATTGACTTTTTCTGGTATTATACTAATTTTCTTATCTAATAATTTTTTGACTCTTTCAAAGTGAAAGTGAAGAAAGACATGTAGAAATGTAACTTAGTTTTAAATGTACAAAACTACTGTATGTAAAATGTTAATGTTTAATGTAAAATGTTAGTGTTTAATGGAACAATATTTATTTGTTTTAATACAAGAATGTTTTAAAATTGATATTAATTGTTATTGGACTGAATAATTGGAAGAAAAGTATTAATAGTTTAGAAAGAAAGAACATCAAAACAGTATGAATTTTATAATTTATTATCGTAGGCATAAAAATTTTAAAATATTGTCGGTAAATAAGTTTGCTTATTGTATGAATGTTATTTATTTATTTAGAATTTGTTTGTTAAATACCTGCTGAAGAGGGACATACAGGTCCGAAACGCAATTTATATGTGTCCAGGTAATTGTAAATAAAACAATTTTAATCTGTGTGACTGTGTTGCTGTAATCTTATACACTAGTATGATAAGTCCTATTAACAGAAATACACTGTTATGGTGTTTGAAAGAATACCTTGTTTAAATTAAGGACATTGATGCATATTAATTAATTAATAAATCAGAATCATATAGTAATGTTGGGTTGGAAACATCATCTTCATGCAGTAGATGGTGTTGTTCAGCCACAAGACTGCCTGTATTTTCTTTCAGTTGTAAACTTCATTGGCCTGCATGATCACTGGACTTAACATGTCTTCATTACTTCTTCTGGGATTATATCAAAGGACTAGTGTACAATATCTATGGTGACCATACATTCTTTATTTAAGAGGACAGTCCTTTATTTCACTGCTTTGTCCTCTAACTTTATTTATTTTATAAAATAGGCATTTTGTCCTTTATTTTGTAAATTCAATGCAAAGTTTAAAAACTTTTTTAATAATATATTGAACAAGTTAGTTTCTTGTACACCATCATGATCAGTGTTGTCATCATGTCCATACGTTGATACATAGAGCGCGGTAGTGCAGTGTGTCGCCAACCGAATGGCCCTTTGACAGTACCAAGGGGCAGACACTCTTATGGGGATTTTTGTGATAGTTTTTTAACTCTCTGGTTGGTGGATGATACACCTGGAGCATTGGTGAGCATTCGTTGACACTTGTCGACAATCTTCGGGGGCTTGAGCATGTGACATATTTACTGTTAATGTACTAAATAATTGGGACATGTGTTTTATTGAAATAGAGGTGTTTGAATGGGTCACATTATTCAAAATCCTTTTGTGGGTGAAGGTAGAAGAAAGCTATATTTTTATTTTGAATCATTGGTCTGTAAGTATACTCGACAGTGAATTATTTGATGAAGTTTTGTGTGTAAAAAAAATATGTCACAAACAAAAAGATCGATGAATGGTGACAGAATAACAAGCTCTGCCATCAAAAGTGGGTTGAGATTTTTGAACATTTTACAGCAAAAGAAATTTCTTTCAAAAACATTTGTAAAACTGTAGAATTTTCTTTGTCTCCCTGGATCTAATGCCCCATCGAACGAATATTTTCATTGGTGAATAATATGTGGACAAATGAAAAAACCCACTTAAAAGTAAGCACGTTATTTCCGTCAAATAAAACTTTCAAATGAACTGTATGGAATTTTATGACTTTTTAAAGCGTGAACCAGTGCTATTAAAAAAAATTAATTCTACTGAAAGTATCAAAATTAATGTTATTTGAATCTTTACAATGTGTACATGTAATAAATGTTATAAGCTTATGAATTTTATAAGATTTTTTTATTTTCTTCGATATGTCCTTTATTTTCCCCCAAAAAATATGGTCACCGTAACAATATCCCAATTGAAAGTGATGAGGACCTGGTAGCATGCACCTAGAGCTGCTTCAGAAGTCCAAGACACACCAGGAATTTTCCAAAATGTACATGATCCATACACTGAAAATGTCAAGCGTGTGTTACAGTTCACGATTGCAACTTTGAACACCTGTAACCACAATGCATTTTGCAAATGTCTTATGAGCAATAAAAAGAATTTCGTTATCTATGTGCTGCTCTTTCGTTTCTTGTTTTCTCTGTACACTAGCACATGAAGATGGCATTTCTGACCAGGCATTGCTATATGATTATGATTTGTCTTTGTGCAACCTACTCCAACCAGAAGTTTGTACATACTTAGCTGAATCACCCTGTAGATTAAAAATCAGTAAAGAGTGATCTTAAAATGTATTTTTTGAAGAAACACTACTGCAGTGTTGCAACAACATTCCCCACTAATTAGCAAGATGTTTTACTAGTTTTTCTATATGATATTTAAACATGAATTTATAATAAAATATTACTCTTAAATCACTAACAGACTGAATCAATGAAATAATTGTCTTGTGAATCTTAAACTCAGGTATTTTGAGAACTATGAATATGTATACTTAAGTCTGAAAGTGATTACAATCAACAGATATTGTTATTACTTTATATATAATTTAATCTTCTTCTATCTTTACAGATTCTTACTCATACCTCTATGTTTTAAAAACTTTATTAAATGTAATTAATGCTGTTGAAGCTTTTTAAAAAATATTTGAACCTCTACTTCCATGTCCTATAAAGTATATGTTTAATGAATTTCAATCATACCAGAAAATATTTTTTAAAATAATATATATCAACATTACCTGGAATTTTACGTGAATAAGAATTGTTAAATCTATCCAGAACTTGATTTAATTTCTCATACTGAGCAGATCCAAACACTGGATTGTCTACTATATTTGGAATTAAATTACAATAACCAATTTTTTGAGGTGGTCTTTGTTCCAATCCATTTCGAACAACAAGCCATAATCTAAATTAAAAAATAGATATTAAATATTAGGTTATAAAATTAAGCTTTTTAATTTTAATTGTATTTGAGAACAATGAAATAAAAACCACTGAAAAATAAAGATCTTAAATGGTAACTTACATTTAATATGAAATTTATTAAAAAAGAAGATACCTAACTCAAAAGATGTACAATACAGTTAGAAGAGAGATGATAAAACAACAAGAACAGAGATAACTAGGAAGACTCAAAATTAAATAACAAAAAATGTGTGTGTCTAGAGTTATGAATGGTGTTAATATTGGTTATTTCTATAATTTGTTTCATCTGTAAAAATAAGTTCTAGAATTTTTATGGAAGTTTTAGGTATTTATTACAAGATTTATGTTTAATTAAATTTTCCATTACTGGTTTTGTTGTGGATTTTAAAGAATTAAAAGCTATTGGCATTTTTTTTCAGTGACATATACAAGGAGCATTTGCTGATATAGGTTTTTTGGAGGAAATGCAGTCTTCAGTCCTTAGAATGGTTGATTATTGGTTACAAATTGACATAACATTAAAGAAAATATTGGGTAACTGACAGGGTAGAACAGAAAATTCAAACTGGAAATAAATTATGTGTCTTATATTAACTTTGAGCAAATAATTAGTATTATTCCGACACCATTAATAAAAAAAAAAAAACAGAATCGAGAATATTATTATTTCGATACTGATATTGATGTTTTCGAAAAAATTTGTGAATTATTTTTTGCTTTGTTTTGTAAATAAGTCTTTACAAAGTTAACAAGCTTTTGTTTCAGAATTTATTTTAGATTGTATTATATAACTTTTCTTAAACTAAGTAAAGTTAATTTTATGTTAAGTACAAATATTATGGCTTTATAAATAAACAGATTTGATGTCTGAAACTGTCGTTCATAATTAAAATATACCCTTACTACCCTATAATATCATTATCGTCATTCAGCAAGCATTCTTATCATTCCGGGAATGACTGATCATTTCCGAGAATGTTACTAAAACTGAATAAAACATTTACAATTTTATTTATTGTCACAAAAAAACATTGTAGTTATATTAAAAAACATTATTTCTATGCATGTAATGTGAACTTAATTATAAAAGTTACTGTTGTTTTTATACAGTAATACCTGGACTTACACGAGTTTCAAATCTAGTCAATTCGTTTTTTGTTTGAGCACCATGCAACTCTTGATTACAGGGCTGTGGAGTCGGAGTCGTGGAGTTTTAATGTTTTAGCTGGAGTCAGAGTCGTCAAAAAATCCACCGACTCCGACTCCTCTTTACTTACCAACTTGTTATGTATTTAAAACAGGAAAGTATTGGAATCGTGTCAAATTAGACCCTCCAAGTTTCTTTTGCAAAGTTACACGTTTGGAGACCTCCCGAACCCCTCAAAAAAGTGAATAAAAGGGGAAAAATTCGCGCGCGCGTGTGTTGGCATCTATATTGTTTAATTTCTTTATTCTCTGTTCTGAGATATTAAACAATATCTCAAAATGGGTAAAGTTTAAGAAACGAAATGTGGCACTGTGGCTTGCGTATAAAAGAAAATTAATACTATTAAATTTTGGTTCTTAATTAAAGGTCGACAGGGTGAAGACATAAAAGTGGTCATGTGTCATATCTCTTAATGAATATTTTACTCGTTATTAGCGTTCAAAATAAAAAAAAAGTAATAATAATAAAATAAAACTCGTCTCTACCCTCAAAGTAAGCTTTTTTGTCATTTTATAATAATACAGTAAAACCCGTTAAGATGCTCTTGTCTAAGATGTTAGAATGTTTTAGTTCATGATTTAGTTCAACCACTTTGACGCTTAATAACTAACTCTTGTGTTAAAACCACCTGACTCCGATTCTGATCACTGACCACAGAAATTATTAGGCTTCAAATAGGGTGAACAAAATCATGCCCTGCACACACAATCTAACATCCACACATAGAAAAAAACCTAGAATCTTTTGCATACCTCGAAATTTCAAGGTGTCCCGAGTCCAAAAATGTAAAAATTTGGGAGGGGTCATTTTTTGATCTAGCGCTACACTTTCCCCCTGTTATAGGGGAGACCGGGGCAAGTTCGTCTTCTTAATTTTCTCAGAAATAAAATAAAAGGAGACTATGGTTTTAGGTTAGGCAGTTGAGTTTTATTGGTGGCTTGTTGAGTGTAGTGTTTGTATTGTTCTCCAACAAGCGTAGTTTCATTTTCAAGCAAATTTTCATTTTCGTTCAATTCCATATAATATTTTTTTTCCATTTATATTGAATTGGCAGGTTTTGTTATAATTCCATCATAACGAAAGTTACTTTTCCTGTTAGAAGGATGTAACTTCAATTTATTCACGTGGCCAGATCATGGCTTGGCATTCTGTTCTCAGGGTTGTACTTAATGTTTTCGAAATCATGACTAGCGGGGCAAGATCGGCAACATAAAGCCACATTAGAAGCAAAGGATTACTCAGAAAGTTATGATATAAATGTAAACTCTGGGCTCATATGGACTGTACGGATGTAGAAAATGAGTATGTTCAATTTATTTGTGATATGTGTAGAGAATAAAAGAATAAACAATATGCTTTTATATTGCTTTTACATTGGTTTAGGATGTTTTCATTTATTATCTGTTTGATTACAAAAAAATCAAACAGATAATAAATGAAAACATGTTTGCATTCTTTTTTATTTATCAATATATATGTCTTTGAACTTGCATTTCGTTGTAATCATATTAAATAGGTGTTGGAATTGTATTTCTTTGTTTTAATAGTGAATTCCAACTTATACATTGTTAATAACATAAATTTATATACATGCCTATCTTGCCCCATTACTGTTGCCCCTATACCAGGGGCAACTTTAATAAAAATAATTAAAATAATTACAACTTTACAAAAAGAGAGAAGTTGCCGATCTTGCCCCTATACCCGGGGCAACTTCGTCAATTTCTCTCTTCTTGTAAAGTTGTAATTATTTTAATTATTTTTATTTCCAAACTGATTTTAACCAGTTCTATAGTAAGGTAACATTCCAGTAGACAATATGCAAAGCTTTTTTTTCAGTTTACAGCAGTATTTATTACACAAAATTTAAGTAAAGCTTAACATGCCGAACTTGCCCCGGTCTCCCCCTATATAACAGCCAGAAAGGTAAAAATTATCGAATACATATTTATATATTACTTAGAAGTCTTATAGCTTTGGAATAAAAAGTTTTTACATTCTATCTTTATTAGAACTCTATTTATTGAATCTTTCATTCTGAGGTCACGTGATGACATCAGAATTTCCGGGTCTCTTTTGGTAACAAGTCCACCCCTGGTCGGAGTCGGATGGTAAGGAAAAGTCGGAGTCGGTAGATTTTTACAAGACTCCACAGCCCTGCTTAATTACTCACTCCCCCCACACTATTGCTCAGCTTACGTGTTGAAACGTGTCTCACGAAATCGACACATAGCTACAATTTATTTTGTGTTACTTACTTCTGTGTTTGTTATATCTACAGAGACTTGAGAGACTCTATATGGTGATTTCTTGTAACCGTGAACGAATCAAGAGACAAGATAAGATTAACAAAAACATTTATTAGCTTACATACATCCGACTTGGATTTTACACAAATTGCAAAATTATACTCTGACTTACACGAATTCGACTTACGCGGTTATCGCTCGGTCCCACCTATCGCGTAAGTTCAGGGTATTACTGTATTTCTTAAATTGTATGCATGAAAATAGCAACTAATCTTCATTTTCGATGTATTTTACTTTAAAAAGATTTTATGTGTATTATTGTTTTTATTTGTTTTAGATAATATTGATGAATATATACCTACACCATTGAATAAAGAAAAAACCACACTTTTGTATTTTTTGGACATTTCATTAACTTTACAAAATTGTTTCCGAAATAACCGTTTTTATCGAAGGCTCTGTTGCAAAGCAATATTATAAAAAAAAAAAGTAACAGATTCTATGTGCTGTCCTATCAAGTATTGTTTAAACAATAATTTAGTGACAACATAAAGTAATTGTCATCATTAACGCTTGTAATATTCTTCATCATAAAACTAATCTGGAAATTTGTGACCTTGGCAATTTTGAGCTTGGCAATCTTATTGGATTTTTTGTGTTTTTATTCTAATATTTATCCTTGTTTCTCTAGTTTCTGTGAGATTTATATATTTATGTTGTTCTATTAAAATTATTTTTTAATTTTTTTAATTTATTACCTACTTTTTAAACTCTTTTTAAATTTTATTTATTGGATTTTCATTTAAAATACTATATTTATTGGTATTAATTATACTGTTACATTGTTATTTCTTTGTAATGATTTCTTTTGTTTTATCTGCTTTTACACTAATCTTCAAACTGACTTAACAAACACAGATAATCAATGGATTAATCAAAGGAAAAAATTATATTAGTGTTAGATTTCAATTCTTAAGCAATGTAAAAGTACACAAATTGATTAAACAAAATAAAGTAAAACATATATAAGTTAACAACAACAAGAATAAACATTTAATAATATCATGTAATGTTACATCAACAACCAAATTGCTAAATACTTCTGAACTGAAAACTATCTGAATAATACACTGTTTATATACCTCAGGATGCATCTATTTATTAAATCAGAAAGCTAATAATTATTATGATCATATTTAGATATACAATCAAATAAAGCAAAAGTANGTGAATTGATTAATTCAGTTTAGTAACTATGGTGGCTAGTTCTACCTTATGCATGCTTACAGATTTACAAATTTACTTATTTACAAATAAAGCTTTTCCTATTTACAAAACAAACATTTATGCAAGTAGATATGCAATAAAATTTTTATAGTGCTTATATAGTCAGGTGTTTTCCTAGCCCAGTTTACTTGGTCAACCTTATTTCTCCATTTCTCAAACTGCTGTGAGATATGTTTACCAAAGGGTTTTTTTTTTTTTTTTGGATTACAGAGACGGATTTACAATATACCATACAGCAAGCCATTTATATATATATATATATATATACACAAGTAACACTGTTTAATTAAGAGAATCTATTAAGTTTTATAGACATTTTTATTAAAAAAATTTCTTACATACTTTTTATTAAATGATTACTATATAAAATTTAAGCTATTTTAGAAATTTAAGTTAATATCTGAAATTCTTATTTAACTAAAACCATATCAACTTTTATATTTACCTCAAGGCTCTCATATAATATGTGTACATTTTGCCATATTCCAAATAAGTCATTTTCTCAACTGAAGGCATTCCTTGCTTGGATTTAAATTCCACACTTTCACATGTTTTCACTTCATATATTGGATTCTCACTCAGCCAAGCATTTGCTCTTTTAACCATACTTCTGTTTCAGAATAAATAAAAGTGTCTACTTAACAATTTAATTAAAGCAAATTAGTAACTTATTTTCTTACTTATATTTTCAATTCAAATAGNTGCTCTTTTAACCATACTTCTGTTTCAGAATAAATAAAAGTGTCTACTTAACAATTTAATTAAAGCAAATTAGTAACTTATTTTCTTACTTATATTTTCAATTCAAATAGCAAAATAAATTAATTAGCACTTTCAGACACTCTTCGCCTCATACATCTTCAGAATCAAAACAAAACTCCAGTATTCCAAATAAAAATGGACAAGAAGCATCAAAAAGGTGCTTTGTTATAGATTACAATACTCCAAAAGAAGCAGGTAATAATCATAATTTTTATGAAACTTTATAAGAAGTATAATAAGTAGTAAAAAATTACAGTATATAAACTATTCTTATAAAAACTTCATTATGAAAGGATATTTATTTAATTTCTATTTATGTTTCTATATCATACCAATAAAATTTAAATTTATGACCTATTCAAATTTTTTAAAATTTTTTCTACCCTGTGAGCACAATGAAACTCTTTTCAGAAAGCCCATTATGGGTTAACCCAGGTCTACAATGGAGGCAACCAGATGATGAGAGACAGACCCTCAATGAAAAATGCTGGGGGTTTTTTGACCCTTCTAGATTTTATGTAATGTTTCCAGAGCAGTAGGCTGCCACCTAAACCACTTGACCATCTGGTTGCATATCCCACTATAAAATTATCATATTTACCTTTCTATTTGACCTCTTATGTCGACAATTGTATTTTACATTCACAAATAATTAACATGGNACTATCTGAATAACACACTGTTTATATACCTCAGGATGCATCTATTTATTAAATCAGAAAGCTAATAATTATTATGATCATATTTAGATATACAATCAAATAAAGCAAAAGTAATTTTATTATATATATATACAGAGGAGGCTGCTTATCTGGAAAAGATATTTGAAAATGGATTGCCATTGGAAAAATCTATCCTGGAGCAAAAGATGTAGAGATAATAATCTCTTGAGTTCTGTAGTCTCTCATGTGATCTAACCATTTGTTAAAACTTAATAGTAAATTATTGTTATGAATAAATCATATGATAGATCAGAGTAATCAAATTAACATAACAAATAAAATTATCCACAAAGAAACATTAAATATTTACAGTTAATACAAGTAACACTGTTTAATTAAGAGAATCTATTAAGTTTTATAAACATTTTTATTAAAAAAATTTCTTACATACTTTTTATTAAATGATTACTATATAAAATTTAAGCTAGTTTTGAAATTTAAGTTAATATCTGAAATTCTTATTTAACTAAAAGCATATCAACTTTTATATTTACCTCAAGGCTCTCATATAATATGTGTGCGTTTTGCCATATTCCTTATAAGTCATTTTCCTGACTGAAGGCATTCCTTGCTTGGATTTAAATTCCACACTTTCACATGTTTTCACTTCATATATTGGATTCTCACTCAGCCAAGCATTTGCTCTTTTAACCATACTTCTGTTTCAGAATAAATAAAAGTGTCTACTTAACAATTTAATTAAAGCAAATTAGTAACTTATTTTCTTACTTATATTTTCAATTCAAATAGCAAAATAAATTAATTAGCACTTTCAGACACTCTTCGCCTCATACATCTTCAGAATCAAAACAAAACTCCAGTATTCCAAATAAAAATGGACAAGAAGCATCAAAAAGGTGCTTCAGTTATAGATTATAAAAAAATTTCATAATACTCCAAAATAAGCAGGTAATAATCATAATTTTTATGAAACTTTATACGAAGTATAATAAGTAGTAAAAAATTACACTATATAAACTATTCTTATAAAAACTTCATTATGAAAAAAATATTTATTTAATTTCTATTTGTGTTTCTATATCATACCAATAAAATTTAAATTTATGACCTATTCAAATTTTTTTTTAATTCTTTCTACCCTGTGAGCACAATGAAACTCTTTTTAGAAAGCTCATTATGGGACAACCAGATGATGATGGGACAACCAGATGATGACGGGACAACCAGATGATGACAGACCCTCCCTGAAAAATTCTGGGGGTTTTTTGACCCTTCTAGATTTGATCTAATGTTCCCAGAGCAGTAGGCTGCCACCTAAACCACTTGACCGTCTGGTCGAGTATCCCACTATAAAATTATCATATTTACCTTTCTATTTGACCTCTTATGTCGACAATTGTATTTTACATTTACAAATAATTAACATGGTCTTTTCAGTCTCTTTTGTTCGGTGACATATTAATTCATTAAACCTCAGCACATGCCTATTAAGTATAACTTTTTGTATTGTGAACAATTAAACAGTCAAAACGACAAATGTTTGCAAGTAAATCATGTACACTGAACCAATTTATGGTGTGGTACGATCAACAACAAAATAACAAACGTTTTCGAACCCCTTCTGGGCTCTTCATCAGTTTGCAAGTAGTTTGACTACCCTGCTTCAATTACATTATCCTTTATTCCATTTGGAATGTTCTTTTCATATTGTGTCATAACATTCAAATCTATTTTAAATTTATAAATTATTTCAATTGTCTAATGCAGTATTTCTCAGCTTATGGTCCACAGACCACAGATAGTCTATGATGATGGGATAGGTGATCCAAAGGCAGACTTAATTTAATAAATATTAAAACTTTGCTCAACAATGATTCACTTTTAATAGTTTACTTCTAATTTAATTAATTACATTTCCAAATGTTTTCAAAATATGCTTTTAAATTTACTATGCTATATTTGGCACAGTATGTCCCAAATGTTAGTAATACCAACATATGTAGTCCTAAATTTTTTGGTACTTATGTGTTAAGAGGATGCCAGTCGGAAATAGCGATCAAAGTCACGATTTTGAATGAAAGTTACTGATTAGGAAAGTTACTGACTAAGGAAGAAAAAAAGTTACTGATAAGGTTGTAAAAATGAAAAAAAAAAAAATTAATTAGGATGATAGATATTGCCTATTTGCCGGTTAAAGTCCAGATACGTATACCGTCATGGCGGCTCATCTCTGATTCCAGCAAACAAAAGGAAACAGTGGGGACGCACGTTCTAACCTAACCTATACTATTAATTTGATTGGTAATAATTATAGTAATTTATTAGAATAGGTTAGGTTAGGTTAGAACGTGCGTCCCCACTGAACTGGCGTCCTCTTAACACATAAGTACCAATTTTTTAAGAAGTTGATTATTTGTAGAATTAACTTGATTACTAAAGCCAAATGATTGCTGGATTACATCAGACTATATTACTCCTACTATTATCAATTAAATGCTAACTAATTTAGGTTTTAGAAGAAAAGAATTGGCCTGAAATGAGACTCAAACCTGTAAATGCTTACTGGGCATTCCCAGACCTTCATCCAATCTTTGCTTCCAGAAACTATTTTAGATATAACCATATTCGGTTACTTACCGAATATGGTTATATCTTATGATTACTGATAATGTCTGAAATTATTGTCACAGGTTAGTATTTCTAAAATTTCTACTAGAAAGAACATAAAAGTAAATAAAGAAAATTTCTGCACGAGTCTGTCCAATGTTTCATTCAGACAATTTTTACTCACATATAAGATGAGGTTTTCATTCATTTTTCACTGCTTCAAAAATGTAGGTTGTTCTGTACATGTGAGCAATGGATTACTTGCATTTTTGCAATAATTTTTGTGAACCGTATATTTGCATCTTCTACATGAAGCTCACTTTCTTGTGTTTAAAAACAAAAGTTTTTATCTGGATCATTTGAATTGCTTTTGTTTATTGTCAAGAGTAAAGATGAATTGCAATAGGAAAAGCAAAGCTTTTGAATTGAATTCCAAATTTAAATTCCAGAATCACACGTGAGCCCAATATAAGTTTTAATCCATTCCCACATGAAAACAGATGATTATTTGGAAACCAGAATTCAGAGAAACTCTTAAGTGTAATCAATGAAGAGTAAATTTGACTGTTAAGAATTGGCAAAAACGGTTCCTGATTTACATGAATAAATTATGTTGTCAATTTTACAAGATTTTTCCTTAAAGTTTAAAATGTCAGTAATTTTTGTGGGACAATGTGTGCATTTATGTGTATTTGATATTTTATTTGTGATTAAACAAAATAAAATTAGAATTGCATTAATAGATCTAATTTTCTTTATTTTGATCTTTAAAGTCACACCTCGTCCTATATGCGAGATCATCTTATACGTGAATAAATACGGTACATTTTACTGTTGCTCATCTATATAGCCTAATTGTCCAAGTTAATAGTTTCAAAAATATTTATTATTTTATTCTTTCTGCAGTTTTGTCCAGGTGAACAGCTTTGAAAACGTGGCAACAGTAAATGAATTACACTGTTGATTGACTTGAAATGCAACTTTCTTCAGGAACCAGAAATATCCCAGAATGCTTCTGGGCATTCAAAAAAGGAAAATGTTATCAGAAAAGCTGACTCTTTATAAAATGTGCACACAGACCAGTAACTGGAAAAGTTATGTATCATTGACATGCAATCTCTGTATGTCTATCACAGAGAGAAAAATCTAATCTCTTCAAACACTAACTCTATGTAATGTCATAAGTATGGACATGACTTGAAGCTACTAATGTCTTATCCACATAACAATAGCAATAAAGAAAATGGGATTTTAAAAATTGACGCAATCCAGAACTATATATCAGTATTTAAGGGTTAAAATCATAATGTATACATATATAAAATTTAAAGAAATGTTTTTTATTCATATAAATACACTAAACAGGTAAACAAATTTTTTAAACTTTCAAAGTATTCTTGGTATTATGCAACCAAAAATAAAGCATGAGGTGCTCATGGAAAACCCATAAAAATTAATATAAAGTGTAACAATATATCTAAACATGAATGACTCAAGCTGAATTATCAGCATTTTGTTGTTTTTTCATTTAATTGGGAAATGGGTAAAAAACTGAGTTACAAGAAATATGTTAACAGTACAACTAAAAGGGGATAACGGTTGCCCTATTATAGTATAATCTGCTATCAGATTTTTACAAATTTTAATTATTTGCTAATTGCTAAACTTGTTTGCAAACTAAAAAAACATATTGTCATTAGGAATACATATGTATGCAAAGTTTCAACTGGATCAGAGATTAGGAAGTGGGTAAAAATTGAGTTAATAGCAAGGTTGCGGCCAAAGTTTTCATCTCTAAAATGTGAACGTCAAACATCAAGTGCCACTATCTTGTAAGTGGTGCTCAACATTCATATTTTAGAGATGAAAACTTTGGTCGCAACCTCGCTATTTTATCTGCACTGTTTGTCCCTTTGTTGTCAATCTAACTTAATAAAAAGCATGTAATAAAAAATACCAAAAACTCAGTCAAACATTCTGAAAAAATTATTACCATATTAAAAATAAAGCTATTATAAAATTACTATTATTATTACTACTATTTGCTATAGAAATGTTTCCATTGGTTTTATCATTTTTCATAAAAAATGTATGGCTTCTCTCAGATTACCAAATGACTTTGTGATGTTTTTTTCTATTATTTTTTCTTCAAATTTCAGCCTGTCATTATTATCTACTTAAGTATCTCCCAACCATAAACTGTTTTTATATTTTTTGTATCTTGAAGAATCCTGTTAAAAGATTGAGATTGATATCTTTTAACAGAATCCTTCAGGATACAAAAATATAAAAACAGTTCATGGTTGAGAGACACTTGAGAGGAGAATTAGACTTGTTTATTCATTTGCATTTTTGAATATTACATAAAAATTTTATCATCAAAGTTTAAAAACTTGGCACCATCCTTGTAAACAAATGACTAAAAAACATTTATAAAATAAACAACATTATCAATATGAAAGTCTTTTATATCAATAGAAGTGTCAGAAATGATGTAAATTAAATTTTTTTATTCATATTTTTAAGCTATCTAAATTTTTTCCACAGTTTTTAATTGGAAACTGGTTCTCACAGAAGCCATACAATCACTCACATTTCTTTTGCTTGACAATGTTAAATGAATGTAAATAAACTNCAGTACAACTAAAAGGGGGTTTTAATTAGAAACTGGTTCTCACAGAAGCCATACAATCACTCACATTTCTTTTGCTTGACAATGTTAAATGAATGTAAATAAACTCATTTAATTTCATTTTTTACATTTCATTTGTTGATTAAAAATATTCACTTGATATTGTTTTACTTAAAAATTATAAAAAGTAAACTGATAAATAATTATAATTTCTTATTTCTTAAAATAGTTTCCAGAATTAATTTTTTTCTACTAAATAAATTCATTTACAAAATATATCAAAATATTCTTTTTAAGTAGAAAACTGATTTAATAGTCAAAGAAAATCATTATTAATGTGTGACTGTTTGCCATGATTAATTTATATAATTTAGAAGATTCCCTCTCTCTAATCTCTCTTTGTTCCTTTTTCATGTTTTGCTATCCTTACTTTTCTATTTTCCCAATAATGCTCTCTATCACATGTCTTCTATTTTTTCATTGTTCTTTCTCTGATCCTACTGCTTTCTTCAATTGACTGTCACTTATAGAGAGAACCACTTAGACGGCATATAAAGGAAGTCAAGGGACGAAAAGTGCATTTTTTTGGAACAAAGTGTTCTGGCTTTGTGAACATGTAAAGGCAAGGGGCAACGGAAGGGCAAAAGAGTATTTTATTGCATTTCTATGATTGTCTCTTTCTTGTTTTTTTACCAAAAATAACTGACTACCAAAAAGTTAAATAAAGTAAAATTTGTAAGCATTTTCCTTGTTATTTTATTTCTTTTAATTAGTGAAATCAGATATTTGATTGACCTGTATTCAGAAAATTGTTTTGCCATTGCCACAATAAACTTTTGCTAATTTGGTCATTCCTTACACAGATGGTGCCAGATTATTGAGAATATATAGGAAAAAGCCAATAAATGGTATTATCTGTAACTCTTTAGTACTGATTCTTTTGGAAGGCAGGCAGACAGGAAAATAATAAAGTATGGCAAAATGCAATATTGTACAGAAAATGAATGAAACTCAAGAAAACAAGAAAATTTGATATATGACATGATTAACATTTTCGTGGAAACCAAAGCTCATAACTAGAGGAATATACTGGATAATTGAGAGGCCAGGTTATTAAGATCTAGATTAGTGAGTGTGCTGTGTATTTAATTAAATTTAACTAGGACAACAACGATTATCTATAATTAAAAATATCAATATACTCACCCAAAAGATTCATATTCTGAAGAGAACAATCCCTCTTCAATAACATCTGGTAAGACATCTATAAAAGTCAAGCCGGATCCTCCAAGAGAAGAATGTTGATTAGTCGCTTGACTATACGAAGGCGGAGGTCTTCTAATCTGAATTATACAAATCTCGAGTTGTTAAATATGTAACTTACTCGCACACTTACACTACTTCTCTGGAAATGTCATTCTCTGACATTTCTGGAAATTCCTGTATCACGTCACATCGATAACCCAGACAACTGTTGCATCCAGGGCTGTGGAGTCGCGTAAAAATCTACCGACTCCGACCAGGGGCGGATTTGTTACCGAAGTAAGTAAAGGTGAAGGTCTTAGATTTATCAGGTTGCCTCATAGAGAAGAAACGCTTCTCATTGGTTGCTTATTTGACGTCACTCGTAGTCGAAAACGAAACATCTTACTATGTCCTTATGGTAGAAACGTTACCGATCAGAGGCTCGTAGCTTTAATTACACGCTAATATTTTATTAATTACGATACTTACTTAATTAAATAAAAATAAAAATTGATTATAAATAAGAAAAATCCGGAATATTGAGCAAATCTTCGTAATTTTTACGTGTAAAGTTGAAGTTAAAATGAGTTTTTCTACTTTGTAAATGAAATCTATTTTATCTATTTTATGATTTTATAACAACAATAGTTTCTTAAAACGATTAATTTTGGTAAATCCTACGTAGGTGATTTATATATAAGTAAATTAATTTAATTTCTATCGTCAAACTGTTATATATTTTTTTTTGAACTAAAAATAATATTGGTCTATTTTTCAATTTTTAATACTCGTGTACCGAAAACGATATTATTGATATTAATATATACAAATTAAGTTTCAAAAGAACAATTTTTTATGTTATAAACACATTTTTGATGTCAATATGTACAAATTAA